TGGAACAGATATAAGTCTGTTACATTTAGTTTTAGGCAGACCCGTTGGAAAAAAAAGTATGTTTTTTGTGGGAGAAACCACAAAATACAAGTTTTTTTTTTTTTAAAGTAGGGCAAACATTAACAAGTAAAGGATTGATCGAAAAGGAACGAGTAAGGTTAAGGTGTATTTGTCACAGCCCATGTTTACATTCACTGTGTGCCTTCTTACTTCTCCCTCTTCTTTTTAAAAAAAGAAAAGAAAATTCACGATAGGTTTGTACTGTATAAAGCGAAACGTTTTGAATTACATGGAACTCCCATTGATCACCCATTTGCTAACCTGTGCTGATTATTGTCCAAGAAGCTCCATCATTGATCATCTCCTTATTTTGCTCTTTGGGACAAGGCGTGGCCTGTGGAAAAAAAAAACAAGCTTGTTCAATTAGAATCCCAGGCACAAATAGCGATTAAAATATCAAATGAATTTCAAAAGTGATTAGGGGATACATAGCCTATGCTCTGTGATTAGTTTGGAAAAACCCACGCAAATCATTTGCATTGCTCTACTTGAAAAATCCCCACCCCCTTCCCCCTTTATCAGTCATAAAAATCAAAATATAAATGGAAACGGTTTTTGTTGTTTTGCAAACCAATTCCCAAAATCGTAATTTTTTAAACTTTTTTTTAACGTCAATCTTCGATTGCATTCACAAAAAGAATTCAGGAATATAAGCCATCTTCACGCTACATCCATAGTATATCTTTTCGTCGTCCATAAACGCCGTACCATACTAAGAAGAGGTAGTGGAAACTTCTCATCGACTCACCTGAAACTGTATAATTCTTTCTTGGGATAAACAAAGGTACATTCTCTCGGTTTCTTTCATATAAAAGGCGACCTAGGGATTAATGAAGACGGCGTACTTTAATGTAAACAAGCATGATGAAGCGCATCGTTGGGTTCATGAGGAAGGTTCCGAAGATTTGGAATGGGATAACTGGACCATTAATATCATGCTTGATACTGTATCGATATTGTAAAGGGAAATTCTGTCTTGGTCAATTATGGGAGTGAAAGGGTTAATTTGGGCATACACACAAGGGTACACAAATTTCAAGCCCTTAACAAGGCTTCATTGCTTACCTTATGAAGTTGTGATACTGGATCATCAGCGTCTAATAAAGCCGTCTGTTTGTCGACTTTTCGTATTACCTTCAGAAAGTAAAATTGCCTGAGTCAATTCTAGTACCACTTCAAAACAACAATAATGTGGGGCACAAGTACACAAACAAAGCAGTGTGATCATGTACGGTTAGACAAGCCATCATACCAGTCTAGGAAGAGCCATCTTTGTTACGGAGCAAACCAGCTTGACTGTTGAGCCATAATGCACATACCCTTCTCTGACAGAAAATTCTTCACTCTCGGATTCATCATCATGTACTGGAGACATCGAAATAAAAGTTATAAATAAGTAAAATAAAATTTCATCATTTATCATCCAACTGCACTACGTAGAGTGCAAACAACACGTGAATCCAGTAAAAATATCCTGCCATATTATACGGTTGTAGTAAAAATATCCTGCGATATTATGTGGCTGTTTGGACAGTCGGTTATTTTGCACCGTAATCCGACACAGATTAGTCCGTCCGTAATCCGTCCCCGAGACCGAGAGGTACTATCAGAGTGATGCACCTTGGCCTAAAAACAAATTCTTTGTACCGGACAACCTTCATGCTACAGATAATATAAGAGGGTCTCTTAGCCTCAGAAATAAAATCAGCGCACAGGTGTACATCTTACTAGATATACACCTGTAAGCTAGTTTGTTAAGGGTGAGGTGTCCATACTCACATAAATGGATGGTGAACGCTCCCCACTGTTGGCTACTTGCATGAAATGTGCCATTTTCGACGTGAAGATATCGTGTGCTGACAGTTTGTGATCTTAGGCGATTAAACAGAGCGACTGTAGAGCCTGATTGGATACATACTGAAAAAAAAAATTCTGCTTTAGAATTCTCTACGGCGAGATTCTACAAATTCACATCAACTCAATTGACCTAATTATCCATCATCTTACAATGTTAAATTACTATGAATGAATTGACTTGTCACGGGAAGAAAAATTAAATAAAAATATTGTTACTTACAATCAGCGTTCTTTAATGACTGCTTTTTCTTAGAAGGCTTTGAGATAACCTGCAATGCAGAGAATTATCTTGTTATGGGGATAAGGATTTCTCACATAAACAGTTTTAAACAAGTTGTACCTCCAATTTCCTTTGTAATGACTAATACCACTATACACTTTTTTGTTGGTCAACTTAAAGAATTTGTTGCATTATCCTGAAACTAACATTTATTTTAGAATTTGACCTATGACAGAGATCACAAATAACAGTAAAGTTAATCCATTTACCTGTTTCTTCATTTTGTGCAAACAACTGTACCCATGTAGCATACAAGTACTTACACTCGTGTGCAGACATAGTGTATAATACCCTTAAACAAGGATAAGCCATTATGGATTGAGTTTAAATGTGTTAACACAAGGGAGTTATGTGCAATCAAAAAGGTGTTTAACCCTTACAATCTCATGCCTAACCAAGCCAGAATTTCTCCTTACAAAATTTTTACAATATCAAGCAGACAAGCGATGAGAATAAAGAAAAATATAAATAAGGAGATTATTAGTTGATCCAATACTCAATTCTTAGAACTAATATCATAAGAATTGTATGGCAGGTAGTTAGGAGAATTGCTAAAGAGATGTGAGGGAGACATGGTGGCCAAATGGTCTAAGCTTGAGGGCTGACATGGGTGAGATACTTAACACTTTTGACTCCCAAAAGTGATTAACATGCCACTTCTCCTTAAATTATCTGTACATTTTTCAGCAAACATGTTATGAGAATGTTCAAACTTATCAGGTAGAATTCGTTGCCTTGATCTTACACCAAATTCTCATCACTTATTTTACAAGGAAACGTGTCGCAGCTAGAGGGAAGAATTAACAATTAGATCTTGGGAGTTAAAGGTTAAATCTCACAATGCCCCACTCTCCCAAGGCCCAGTTGTTCAGAGAGTGGATGACGCTAACTAATGGATACACCCTATCCAATAGATAAAAGTTAACAAAATGTACTTTGCTATCCATCAGATAGAGAGTTGTCAAGAGGATAGCGTGTAGCACACTTCAAACAGCCAAATCCAGGAGTATAAATGGGTGCTAGCAAAATGTCAAGGAAGCCTGTTACAATGTGCAATGCTGGAAGGTAACCAGCATTAGTATCGGATCCCATCTATGGGAGTGTCCATAGTTCTCCTTGTTGCCTCATGCTAATGAAATTGGGATGAGTCCCAGCTGAGTGTGGCCTTGGCCTTTTTTTCATTATTAAGAATGCATGGATATCAGGGGAGAAACCAGGATTTCTCAAACAGGAGTCACACTGTGTAAAACACAGGGTACTCACCAGTTTTTGTTCTGAAGGAAAAAAAAGGTTGAAAGGGGAGAGGGGAGGAGTCATGGGCACCCCAGGATCCTCCTCCACCCCACCTCCTTGTTTATTACAGTAGGTATTCTCTCTACACAACAAGACTCACCTTTATTCTTTTTGAATTGAATGTACCAACATGGTCACCATTGGGATATAGTAACTGTGTTAAATAACAAGAAATAAATTCATAAACAACAATAAAAAAGATTAATTAACATGACTAGAGGAGGTAATTGTGTAAAAAATTTTTTTGTCAGCCCAACCTGTAAAGCAATGGTAAAGAGTGTCCTGCTGCACATGCAAAGGTAGTTAATTTCATATACTCTCTTATGCCGAGTATATTTTAATTTAACTCTGCCCGAACTGAATGTTAGTCAGACAATTCTGATGGACTCAGAATAAAATCTTTGATCAAATGCACTTTTGCCTACCATAACTAACCACGGTTGATTAATAGAAAATTCATGTAATTTGGACACTACAATCTCTTTTAAAGAAGCTTGAACTTTTGGAATTCACAGTCACATTTAAACCAAAATTTAATTTACATTTATGTACCTTCAGCGACAATTCAAAGTGCTTTCTTTTATCTGAATCTGATATGTACAAAGTTTTAGCAGCTCCATAGCCCTAAAAATATCACAAAAAGAAATACAGTGTGTCAATTGATACAATCATTCTTTTTCCACAAAACCTAGATTAACCCTGAAGTTTTAAATGTCCATACCAAATGTATACCGTTATACACAATCTCTGCAAACATGCATAAGCATCCTTCAGTTTATACATGCATATCAAGAAGATATGACCAAAAATAGGATATAACTGTAGATACCTAATCTAAAGTATGAGTCATTCTTAACAACAGGTTTTAGAAATGGGATTTAATTGTACAGTGTAACTTAATTTAGAGCAGCTGATTGTTTTTTTAATATTTGGCCATTAACATTTGTATTTCAGGTTACCATTAAATGATTCTAGGATACCAAATATCAGTCTTAGAGTTTGAGCTAGATGCCTAGTGACTGGTCTGATAATCAGCAAATGAGTAATTATTAATCACTTGGTGAATATCAGTCCAGTTATCCAGGTTGATAATCATCTTCTTAGGCAGGATTGCTTCACCAGGACCTATCAGACCACACACAACAAGCCTTTCTAAAAACCTGGGATGCCACCACAAGGAAATTTGGAGAGCTATGAAATAAGGGAATGAGAGATGGAGGCTGGACATAGGGCCAGCTTGACTCACTGGCAACTGATAGAAATCCATGGCATTCTCTGATGCAGGTCTTATGTACATAAACCCAGAGAGGGGACTAAGCTATGCTAATCAAACTACACTGTGAAAAATTTAATGAAGTATATCTATATCCATTTGGCAGACCCCTAATAAATGTTAATCTTAGAGAGCCATAAAACCAAGTGCAGAAAATAAAATTCTATTTGAGCAAAACCTTCTCCACTGAACAATCAGCACCACCTCAGTCTTTTTATTTTGGCAATTTTGATCTGATGCAATTGATATCCCTTGCTCTGCATGTTGCATGAATTTGCAAAGACCAACAGGAAACTTGACATGAAATTGAAGTCCACTGAACAATCAGCACCACCTCAGTCTTTTTACTTTGGCGATTTTAATCTGATGCAATTGATATCCCTTGCTCTGCATGTTGCATGAACTTGCAAAGACCCACAGGAAACTTGACATGAAATTGAAGTCCAGCAATAGTGTATTTGTCTTCCAAGTACATCATGACTCCAAAGATTCACTATTCTTGTTGAACAAGGTCATACTTCACTTTAAAATGATTTTTTTTCCCACACCAAAAAAGTAAGATTGGAGGTCTTGTTATGAATGAAATTGTGTTAAAAAAAAAAAAACAAACAGACCACTCACAGACTCACAGCACATTGGTGAGAGTTGGCTTGTCTGCAAGGTTTTAAACATGAAACAAGACCTACCTTGTCTTCAATAATAAGCTGCTGCATTTCCTGTTCATTTTTGCTTCCAATCCCAATGAATGCAACTGGCTGATGCATTACTTCTTCTTCTGGAACTTGAGGCATTAGTGCCTTACGATACTGCCAACCTTCTCCCACAAGATAAACACAAGGTGGAGGACAGAAAAACCTGAATAAAACAGTCAGTACTATGCAATTATTGACTAGGAGATAAAGGGTCTTATGACAATAATGCAGAACACAAACTGATTAAAAAGTTTTTACTCAAGCCAAGTTCCTCCATTCCTCCCCAAACCAGCTTTTCCCAGTATCCATAGAATAAAGTGACTAGGAGTATTACTACTTCTTCCCCCTCGGATGGGATGCCAGTCCATCACAAGGTTACCTCCAGTGTTTCATCAGGCTTCTCTGACAATTCATTGGTAGTCATTTATAACCCTTAGTGGAGAGAGGCCTGGTGAGAATTAAGTGTCTTGACCAAGAACACAATACATTGAAGCAGCCAGGTATTGAACCCAGACCTCTCAACCTGCTGTCCAGCACAGTACCCCCCTGCTTTTCAAATGTAAACTACTTTGCTATCATGCTAACTGGATAATGGTGTCTATCCCAACCAGGTCACTTTCAGCCTCAATCCAAACCAAAGGCTTGGCAATTAAGTACACAAGTGTTAATAATGTTCACTTAAAAAAGGATAGCAATGTCTCCACCTTTTTTCATTGCCATATGACTTTTGTGCCACCTTGGCATGGAAAATGATAACTGTTTGTTGACCATCCCTTTGCACTACATCAGTGAGATATTGGTTCATAGCAGCTTTTGAAAGTCTTGGTTGAATTGCTGCACTACAAATGAAAAACAATCCATTACAAGAACATACAGAAAAGAACCCCCAGAGATAGTAAAAAAATACTGTCTTGTTCCACACAAAAACATAACTACATGTGACAATATAAACATTACACTCCCCCCTCCAAGAAAAAACCAACAAACAAATTAACCAACGCTAATCCTACACACCCCTCTCCTCCCCCAATTCCACCTTAATAAATCTTCTAAGCCATGAATGTATTCTACAATTATACTTCCACTTTGTGATCATGACTTAACCCTTTAACTCCTATAAGTGACCATGACAAAAATTTTTCCTTACAATATCAATACAATATCAAGTAGAAAAGTTACGAGGATAAAGAAAAATATCAGTTAAGGGATTATTAGTAGATTCAAAACCAAATTCTCACCTCTAATGTCATAGGAATTGTATAGCGAACAGTAAGAAAAATGACCACGGAAATTTTTGGAATGAAGAGATTAAAGATGCTATATGTACACTGGTCAAATTTACCATTTTATGAAAACCATTCTAAAGATTGAAGTGCCCAGTGTCTGAGCCAGTGGCTGGCTCCTAAAATGAATGCTGCTTACTTTAATAAACATAATAAACATTCATGTTATTGACTTACGGGTCTTTGTGAAAATCCTCTTTTTCCTCATCTTCTTCAGGGGGAGGGGAAGGGGTGGTTGGAGGACTGGGGTGACTTGCTGCTAGCTCTAAGGCCAGACTGCGAGGTTCTGCAGCCACTCGAACTCCATCATGTCTGTGTTTGGGTGTTGATGAGTACCCATCAGCCACTCTTTGGTATGGACCTCTTCCTAAATGATAAAGCAAAATCTTCTAGTTTAGAAACAAAGAATAAATTTAGTTATATGAAAGTGTACTCATCATTTCTTTATACCCCTCCATGGAAAGTTAGCAAATTTCAACACTGGTTTTAAGGCTATCCATGAGTGTGGGGGTTTTCAGCCAGAACTTGTGGTAATTTTCGAAGTTTCTCAATCCCATAATCTTTAGACAGTTGACAACAATGTTAATACAAGATATTGCTTGGCCTGATCCAATGATAAAAATTTGTTTTTGATTACTGATAAAATCATTTTCAACAGAAATCCCACTATTACTAAAATACTAGTACAACAAAATGATCATACAGTGTACTACTTTACTGTTACACAAGTAAATACAATTATTCTGCATGCTGAGAGGGAATGATATTCTAAGAATTTTATACCCTTAAGTTAGTGTAAATATACTAGTCACTGTATGGTGCCAATATTTCTAATTTGGAGAATTTTTTTTTAACAATCAAGAGCCTCTCAGACTGGTAATCATTTCCTTTATTCCCATGACCTTATTGTTTAAATCAGGGGTGATTAGCAATTAGATGCAGATCACTTATAGATCTGAGGAATTGAATGTTCCTTTATAGAATTTAAAATGCAGTTTTACAATGTAACTGTATACTTAAAACCCCCTTGACTGCAAGAGAGAAGTCTCTAACTATCTGTCAATGGGGAACTGACCATCACTTATGGTGGAGGAGGAAAATTATATTCCCCTGAACTGTTATCTCTGCAAAAATTTCCCTTAAGGCAGCCTCTTTCCATCAATGTCTGTTACAATATTCTTGCCTTTTTGTCAATGAAGAATCTCCCAAATCTCAGTGTAAATATCTGTGCATATCCATTAACAATGTTTAACAATAATGGGCATATTGACAGATTGAAATTTCTGTTTCAAGTTTCATATTTTTCTTCCAAAATAACAACTTCTCAGTTTCCACTTTGTAATCATTAACTGGCCTCCTTACACATTATTTTCCAGCTATCATTACTGAACGATAGTTTTTTTTAAAGGTATTTCTAGGCCTGTAAAGCGTAAAAATGTAATGAAAAGGAAAAGCCAGCCAGGAGGGGGTGATAACATGTTTTTCTTCCTTAACCATCCCCCCATTCACCTGAAGTGCAGCTTCCCTTCACATACCCTGTTAAACTGGTGTTCATAAGTAATCGACTTTACTCTGTGTTGTTGTATGAAGCAAGAAAGGATTTTTTCCAGAATGTTGATCCTCACTGATTAAACAACTCTGAAGCTTGTTTCAAATACTTTCATTCATGCCGAAATCATAGCCAAATATAACTGCACAATATCGCAAACGAAACGACTTTCTAGAGTTCCAAAGAAACTATCAATACGCCTCTACTGAGCGAGACTGGTAGGCTGAAATTTGGCCAAGATTTTGCGAGTTGAGGAGGCACCCGATATCTTAGATCGATATGGCTATTAATGCCTGATTTATAACTGAAAAGTTATGAATTAGATATGAAATATATGTCTGTTAATAATAAAAAAGTTTCATTATCTTTAAATCCTACATGAAGTGAAAACAAAAGAAATTAGTCATTTTACAGGCCGGTTACCTGCTTAAATCAAACAAACTAATTTCAACGCAACTCTTTCAGAAACAGCATCTTGTTTACAAAATAAAGAAAGTCGATTCCTCGTTGAAATTGGAGCTACAAAATACCTTCTTCGCCCAAAGGGAATTTAAAAATGTTTGAGTGGTTGACCTCATTTCCGAAATAGTGTACAAAGTCTCGTTTATGAAAGTACCACGACTAGATGTCGTTTTCTTAAAGACAACTGTCGACAACTACAGGAAATATACTCAAGCTTACAGAGACAAGAATATCCCACCACTCACCGGTCGAAACCCGATTGAGGAAAATTAAAGTTGAAAAGAAGAAAGCTTGGTTAACATTTGACAATCGACATAATATTTAAGAGAAATAAAAAAAATTGTTCAATCATTTGCCCCGATCTATGATATAAACCCCAACGAACATGATCACTTACTAGAAAACGTACTCTCCGACTGTGTTGGTAAACTTGCTGCGATTGTGGATGTAATTGGTGAATGATACACTGCCTGTTGTACGATTCCACTCGATGGGAAAACCTCAGAAGAATTGAAGTTTCCACTCTCTATACGAGGCCGTTTTACGTTCGTGTATCGATGTCCGATATCCCTAGGTATCAGTCCTGCATGTGTCGTGAAAAGTGAACCGTCACGAGTGGTTCCATCGGCTGTAAAAATCGATCTCTGTCCATGAGATTCTGACATTTTTTGCCAGAGCCGCCGACGTAAATTGTCTTTTACCGTAAAAGAAAATTATCTCTTTTAAAAGCCAGTTAAAACTGAGAAGTTATCCGGAAATCTTGCATCAAGAAAGCTGTAGGGGGCATAGTAGTGAAGCCCGATAGTTTGACGGACGAGTAGTGAACGATATCGTCCTGAAAGATTATCTCCAAGAATGAAATTAGGAATCTTTGCAGGGGAATCCTTTTTCTTCCCAACTCTGCGCTGTCGAAATTGAAGTTCAACACTCCATTGATCTAACTTGGCAACGTGTCTTTTTTTTTTTTTTAAGCTCAGGCTATCTGTTGACGACGTATTCACTCGGATCGACTGCCGCCAGCGACGAAATAAAATGGCTACCGAAATCGACAATGTCTCTTGCTTCAGAGTAGTTGGTTGAAACCTGTTCGTTTACACGCACACGAAGGAAAACCCCGATTCGCGGAAGAACTGCACTGGTGAACAATACATCCACAACAATGTGAAGTGGAAGTAAGCGATGATGACGGCCGATGAGCGTGGGAACTTTTGTGGCAATTCAAGGCTCGTGAGAAAATTAACCCATACCATATATGGATTGTATTTACAAATAGCGGCTCTCGAACAAAGAGTGCACGCGACCCGCTACCGAATCAACTCGTCCCATAGGGAATGTTCATATTCATCACTTTTCGCTAACATGTGGGCCTTTTGTGCAGACAAGAGCGAGCATTTCACCCGATTGGCGGAGCTACAAAAGGGGTTGGTTAATAGATGAAAATCTTTGCTTTGCTTCAGCTGTTGCAGAGGCGAAGTTTCTCACGGGAACACAAAGAAAATTCGTTTTTTTATTGAAAGAAGACTGTCCGAAGAGTTTAAAATTTGATGTGTATGTTTAGAAAACGTCGAATCCGACGTCGAAGTTTGAACTATTGATACTAATGGGCACGCTGCCTAAGTTTGTGACTCCACGCATCCTGAGTTTTGTAATACATAAATCCTGATTTTTAATAAAAACAACAAACTCCGACTTAACACGTTATTAATTAGTTTTGTTCAGAAAGTGTTTTTCTTCTTCACCTGTCCAGCTTGCATGAAAACCCTGAAGACCAAATAAATGTATTTTGAGGAGATTTTTTGCAACCGTTTTTTCAGCTTCGCAGCTTTATTTACAATTTCATTGTTGGGCACAACGTCCTTTTAAACGTGAACAACGGAACAAACCACAAACAAAGAACATATTTTTTAGTGGTCCAATAAATTGTGCGGTTGATCAATACTGAAATTTTACAGACCAGTGGGCTACAAAAGGCTAAATGCACAGTAAAACACACTGCAGGAACAAAAAACCTTAACGTTTGCTCTAATTTGAAACTGAAAAATATCTTTGGAAAATTCCCATCTTGACAAGTATGTAAAACTTTCAGAGAAATATAAATTTTTAACCGAAAAAACTTTAAGGACATACATAATCATTCAATAATTTTTTTTTCTGACGTAATGAGTAGAATATGTTTCTGCTTGTCGGTAATAATGACTCTGCTTAAACTTAAGAGCGTTTGAATTCCATCTTTACGCTTCATCAAGCTAAGGAAGCTATTTTTCTTTTCTATCATCGTCACGCCTTGGCTTCGGATTTTTAACGCTACAGAAGTTATCTAATTTTTTTTACTTCTAATTTTATTATTTATTTTTATGTTAATATGTATTTTTGAAATTAAACCGGGTCTTTTCCTTTTAACTCTCCCCATACTGAAAATTATTATTTTGAATTACTAATTCTGGGAATTCAATTTGTTTATATCCATTCACAATGTTTTATTTGTTTATCATGTGAAACGATGATAAGTTTTTGAAAGTGAAGTTAATTGTTTTCTTCCTCGTCTCCTACTTTCTGCATGAATTTCATTTTCCTCCTTTTTTCTGAACTGATCGTAACTCTTAAGGAAGGGGGGGAAGTGTAATTGTGATACTGTACACTTCTCGGGCTATTTTTCAGATAAACAGAGTACGCGAATATCAAATGCTGTTAAAAAAAAACAGTTCTTACCATTGTGAACAGTTTTATATTGAGCGAATGCTATTGAATTAAAATTTGCCAAACGATCTTTTGAACCTCATTTGTAAATCAACAGGATTTTAAAACGTAATAATTGGATTTTCTAATTTTCCATTCCGTGATAAATTTTCCGCCGCTTCTAAAAATACCATAGACGCTAATTTCATTTTCGACATAGCCATCGAAAGTGATCGTCCCTAAGAAGCCCCTATATACCGATGTCGCATCTCTTCTCCTCGCGGATCAAGATTCTATCATTGATTTGCTTTCTATGAGTGGAATTCGCTTCACGCTAGCAACAGTTGTTTTTGTTTCCTAAACCAAAACCTCAATAAAATTTCATACATAGCATCTGAGACCTCAGTGAAAGAAAGAACTCAAGCTGCCGCCAAGTAACACTTGACCGCTGTCTCAGGAAAAAAAACATTGCTTCCGCTGCGGTTTCTAAATTCGTCAACTGAATTTCTACACCTCATTCATCGAATGAAAAGTCTATAAACCAATCTCATTACAGTGGAGTTAAGATTGACCTTTGTAAATGAATTTTAATTCACTGCTAAATATAACTGCGTCCACTGATATTCCATGCAATATTACTATGAGAATTTAGCCTGATCATGGAGTTAGGAAAAAAGAAGATACTTTTTTTTGCGCCAAGTTGCGTCCAACGTCTAAGCAGTTTTATTTCCACTCTTTTTCCGGCAGAGAGTTTGTGGAGATGAACGAAAAGGATGAGAGGATTGGAAAAAGAAAAACAACGAGGGATGTGGGGGAGGAGGGACTTTGGAGAGGGATGGTAACCTCCCCATCAACCCCCGGCCCCCCTCCCCCCCGTGCAACTTTTTTGTTGTCTTGTTCACACACTTTGTTACTATAGCGAACAGGGAGTATAACTTACGTGAGACATTCTTATTCTTGCGTTTCGTGGCTGAGGATTTTCTTTCTGCCATTCAGTCGGCAACTGTGTTAACTAGTCTTCTTGCTGTTGTTAAGTATTCCATTTCGATGAGGAAAAAAGCTATGGTGTTTCCATTCAAAATTTTACCCTGAGAAAAAAAATGAATCAACATTAAAGAACCGTAATTCAAGCTTGTGTTAAGCGAACCTTTAGTGCACAGTCACCCTTTATTCAGGGGTCACTTGTCAACTTTCCGAAAAGTTTGTGCATGTCACGAACTTTTGCGCACTCACGATCAAGCGGGAAAGTAGAACGGCAGCGCTTGGAAAAATTGAAAAGCGGCGTGGTTTTTCTTTTTTAAACCTTAAAAAAGCTTAAATTTTTCTGCAGATTGTCAAGAGCCTGACTGAAAGAACAGTAAAGGTATTTTTTGCTCCGAAAGCAGTAAACTCTTGGTAGGTTTACAAGTGACCCATCTAAGTTTAAGAAAAAATTGTAGTGATGTACACTTTACTATGCTTTAACTTCTTTAAACATGTTCGAAATTTGTCAAGAGCTTCAGCTGCGTTTCGCTACTTTCAGGGTCTATCAGGAATCAATCTTAGCTTAATTGGTTGAGACCTAGACTTGGCAAAGTCAATGAGTACCTAGCTTGGAATTGAAAGCTCGTATGAGGTAGACTTTCCCTATTTTCTTTCGGTACTTGCATTGTTTAGAGCCTTCAATTTTTATACATAATTTGCATTTTCCACTGCTAAACCTTCAAATACTCCAAGTTTGGCCACCTTCAATCAATTTCTTCATTACAAAAAGCAAGCTCCGCCATGAGACACGAATTCTACCTCTAGGCAAAAAAGATTTTTGGGAGAAATGGCAAGCTGGATTGATTGCGACTGAAGTTTTACAAAATGTCAAACTCCTTCCTTTCAACGGGGTTCTCAATGGGATTAAATGTTAGCCGTAAAACAATAAAAATATTTAAGAGCTTTGTCGTTAAAATAGTTCACCATTAAACTTTTTCCTTTCTGAAATGTGACTTTTGTGTCATTTTGATTTGACCTTCAGTCAAAGAATGGCCAAAATTTTAACCGTTAGCCGTTAAAGCTATCACCCCGAGGAGACCCTCTTCGAAGGAACCACTGTGAAGGGCCACTGGTGACAGCAAAACAAGTTTTAAACCAGTGGGGTCCGATGATAGGTTTTCTCTTTCTTAAATAAACAGTCCACAAGCGGGGTTCTGCATTGCCTACATTCTTAGAGAATCTTAACGGTGGCCAATTTACATTATCAACTCAGTTGATAAAACCAAATTATCCCGGCTACATCTTTTATATGTTTTAAGAAAGAACAAAATAGAGCTCTACTCTCCGCCCTTGATGACGAGTCAAAAACTACGTAACAAATCTAGGAGGACTCTTTCACTGGACCTTTATGGCAAAAGGTTCTTTATTTTGATCAATCTTCATCTTTTTTCTTCTTTTGGCGGTAAACTGAATAGTCATTCGTAATGCTTAACTGTCGGAGTTTGATGTTATTTTCAACATTAGTCATATCTGCAATAAAATGCCAAAAAACAAAGCGAATGTTTGCCAAAGACCTTAAAGCTCCGTACAAAAGAGCCTAGATTGCTAAAAATAGATATTTGTCCGAATTTGTTTTCTTTTAAAGTGCCAATAATGCAATACTGATGAAAATAAGCGAAAGGATTCTCAGCCATTAATGAGCCTTCCTTGAACTATGATCTCTATCAATAATAAAACCAGTTCATTCCGTTACAAGGGCATGTAACAGATACGCTTCGTCGCAATCGATATTTTTAATCACACAAATTGTCCAAAGATACAAATACACTGGGTAGCAAAATCAAAAGGCTATTACCACAATCCACTTGGTTCGTAATGCGCTTGAACCTTGCAGGAAAATGGGAGATGGAGGTGTATATATGCGCATTTAATAAGCTCTAATGGCTGATTCAGTTTGTTTTTCCTGTCGCATTTTCCCACGACTCTACTAACTGAACTAACAGAACCAATCAGATTGAAAGCAGAT